GAAGCGGGCAGTTTCCCAGGTTGCACTTCGCATATGAAATGAGTAATGATTGGGAAGAGGACTGGAGATGTGTATCCGACTAGGCTGGAAAACACGAAACTATGCTAGTAAATGCTTCTTATCTTTATCCTTGGAATCGTTTAAACAAACGTCAATATTTGGATAGAGAGTCTCCATTTTTTTAGAAAGTAAGCTGTCATCACTTAAAACACAATAGTTATTCGATTCCAAAGCTTGTCCACAAGCAATGGTCTTATAATGTTGCTGCAACTGACGGCCATGTCGACAGATTTGCCGTCTTAGCCAGCCACGCGACAAATAGAAGCAGATCAGCGAGAAGCTGAGCAAAATTAACGCGATTGTGACAGAAAGCAAGATGAAGCTAAACTGAGGGCAACGTTTAGCATAGCCCGTCAGTCGGGAAAGGCGGATACGCAGATTGTAAAAACGGATGCATCCATCAACTTCCTCCCCATGTGTATCATTTTGGCCAGTAGAGTTGATGCTGTAATTATTCGCGCTGGTAAGGTTTAAGGAACCTGCGCTCACCTGTGGAGTCTTAGCCCGGTGCGTAAGATCAGAGCCAGAGGAGAAAAAATCGGTAGGAGGAACCTTTAGTAGCTTAGATAGAAGGATGGGATAGACCCTTGATTCAATGCTGTCAGGGGAGTCGGCGAAAATCGTATGACGATGGGGAATCGTTGGTATGAGTCCGGCGAGATAAAGAAGCAAGGAATGGATATGCACGGGTCGGACAATATGGTCAACAGTCGATCCGGGGGACCCAGAACTCGAGAAACTATCAAATCGGTAGGTAAAGAAATTAATAAAATAAAATTTAGTAGATGAAGGATTAAAATAAAATAAATGTAAAACGACAAGATTGGATTTAAAATGTTTCATGGCCTAGGTATAAGGTAAGTAGACAATGACGTCTAAAACTGTTGAGACGTACTTTATGAGTTCGTAGAGGATGTAAGCAACTATCGTAAAAGTAGCTGAATCTATGAGAAATTAATTGGAGCATATTTTAAATCGTCCCGGATTTTCAGAGTTTTTGGTGACGAAAATGCATTATGAATACAACGAAAG